TACACTGGATGCCCTTCCTGACGCAACCCTCTCTATTTATCCGGGCTTGGGACTGGCACAGAAGTCACTGGCTTGCAACCCCTGTGGCTAGATTCTACACATTATTAATGTAATAAATGATAATAAAACAGAATAAAACACATCCAACTGAAAGTCAACTTTCATATGTGGTTTCCGTAATCCGTTCCACCTCCTGCCACACTCACCTCACTCGAAGTAAGGTTTCACATTTGTGTACACTTTACATATTTTCCATATGTTTAATTGTCATATATTTTCCATATGTTTTATTGTGTATATTTAATGATTGAAGAAACGTTCCATTTTTTACATCTACTTCTACTGTTGTTTCTGAGAGCCATTGCACGGATTAGGCGTTTTAAATGTAAAACTTAAAAAATTTTATATTTATATATATAAAATTAACATGACAGAAAAACAGATGAAGTTAAACATTGAATTAACACAATCGGAACAGATAATTGGCGGCTATCAGAATCCTTTAGTTTCCCTGATCACACAATTCTAAATCTGGCACCAAAAAAGGCCTGTGGACCTGACGGCATCCTTAAAAATATCCAAAACTATCCTTCAAGAGTGGAGACAAATTTGACCCCAACAACTACATAGGCATCTGTGTGAGCAGCAGTCTGGGGAAGCTATTCTGCTCCATCATCAACCACAGACTCGTGAGGTTCCTCACAGAGTACAATGTCCTCAACAAAAGTCAGATTGGATTTCTACCAAATCATAGAACTTCAGATCATGTGTTCACCTTCCAAATGCTAATTGACCAATACATTAACAAAAACGAATCCAAAGTATTTGCTTGCTTTGTTGACTTTCAGAAGGTTTTCAATACAATTTGGCATGAAGGTCTCCCAACTTCTACAATCAGGAATTGGCAGTAAAAATCGACTGGCAGTAAAAATCTACTCAAACAATCAATGTGCGATTAAAATTGGCAATAACCGAGCAGAGTTCTTCATTCAAGGAAGAGGTGTCCGGCAGGGCTGTCCACTGTCTCTGAGCCTCTTCAACTACATTAATGAACTAGCGCAGCAGCTGGAAGCAGCAGCAGGACCTGCTCTCTCTCTGCACGACTGCAGGCTTAAACTGCTGCTCTTCCCAGATGATCTGGTCCTGCTGGTTCCATTAGAGGAGGCTCTGCAACACAGCATGGACATCCTACACGGCTTCAGTCAGACCTGGGCCCTGACAAAACTACAGTCCTCACCTTCCAGAGGACACCCAGACGTCAGGGAAGGAGACACACGTTTACCCTGGGTACGAGTGAGCTAATGTACGTAACAAGCTACACGTACCGCGGCAAGAGGATCAGTGCCAACGGGAAGATGGGTTATGCTGCAGATGAACTGAAAGAGAAAGCAACAAGGGCTTTCTATGCCATCAGAAAATCCATCCAGACACAAATATCAATTAGAATCTGGCTCAAAATATTCCAATCCGTAATTAAACCTATTGCATTATATGGCAGCAAAGTGTGGGGTCCTCCTCAAAAACAACAATTTGATTAATGGGACAAAAATTCATTCGAAGCTCTGCATGCAGAGTTCTGCAGATGCATCCTGGGCATACAGGGAAGCACCCCTTAACAATGCATTCAGAGCAGAATTAGGCCAATTTCCACTAATTATTGATATTGAGAAATGAGCCATCAAATTCTAAAATCATCTAAGAACGAGTGACCCCAACTCTTTTCATTATAAAACCCTCAAACACCATGAAGTGAACCCCCACGAGAGTCTCCTGAGTCAGATGGTCCTGAGGCTGCACTCATTGACCATCCCCTGGCCTCAGAACAACCACAGACTTAATCAATGTTTGTTAATATGCCCCAAATACATCATGAAAATTATTTGGAACATTGGGCAGAAGCAACATAAAAACAAAACAAATTGCTATTGCAGAGTGCTATTCGACCCTAAAACAAGAATCCACCACAGCAGAGTTAAGCAGATCTGAGACAGAATCCTCATGAGGTACAGACTGAGCAATCACTCGCTGAGGGTAGAGAGAGGCAGGCACCGGCAGTGCTGGCTGCCCAGAGAGAGCCGCATCTGCCAGCACTGTACCCTGGGAGAGGTGGAGACCGAGGAGCACTTCCTCACACGGTGCTCCCTCTACCAGATCAGGGCAGAGTTCTTCCCCGAACTTACCACAATACAGCTGACATTTGCAGCCCGTGTTTTTCTTGCTTGCTCTCGGCAGAGGCAGTCGCTTCTTTCTCCTCTGCCTTATCTTTGTTTTTACCCGCTGGCACTCTGTGTTTGTCTGCGAAAGACTCTCACTGTCCTGCTCTCCAAATAAAAGGAAATATGGATCTGATCAACTGATCTCTGAATGCAACTGACTCCATTTTCTCGACAAGGAGCGTGGGTTTGGGGGAGCCCACCTGTCCTGCAGGAACTCTATGGAGATGGACAGTAAAAATCTGTAGAAATTTGCTGTTTTTGACCTAAATTAACTTTGCTTCCATCTGGCTTTCCCTTATCTCCTCTGGCCTTGAAGGCCACAAGAGGAGTCAAAATATATTCCCCTGCGAGGGCTGATAACGAGACACTCTGCATTCCTCGCTCTCTCTCAAAACACCTCCGCTAGCTTCTTTCAACCGCTGTAATCTGAACAGGCCATGAGTACAGCACCGTTAATGGAAGCAGGAAAATGTCGACTGCAGCGGTCTACCACTTCCCTTGACCATACCCTATCCTGCAATGTTTTTCTGTATTATGCCTATATGTGCTGGTTGCAATGGCTTTTTTTTAGCCTTTAAAGGCTCTTTTTGAGCTACCTTACCTAATCAAGAGAGAGTGGATGAGAGAGGTTCAAATATAATACATAATTTAATCTATAAGCTTCTGTATCAAACTTATTAGATTACTATAAAATATTATAATATAATGTTCATAATATTAGTCTTCAATGTGCATTATGATATGTTAATAGCACAACTGTACTAATTTCATTATTAATAATATTACAGTACTATAATTTTCATTATTTGTATTGTTCATAATTTAGTTAGTTTCAATCCATTTTATTTATTTTTTTCATTTAGTTTAATATCATTCTTGTATAATAATGTTTTAAAATCTATAGATATATATCTGATTTTTACATTGATATTTTTTTACATTGTTTAAAGCTTTGGCAACACAATGTATGTTGTCATGTCAATAAAGCTGGATTTGAATTTAAGAGAGACAGAGAGATTTTTTTTTATTTTTACAAAAGACTTTATTGAGTCTTTTAACGTTTACATTTTTCCATCACTTTTTTCACCAAAAAAATACAAAATAAAAGCAAAAGCTCAAAAACAATAGAACCCTTCTAACTAACGGAAACAGCGAATTGTAGCTCTCTCTCGTTTGCCACACACAGAGCTCCCTCATAGCACCACTGCTCTACGAACGCCTCAAGGTTTTCCATTAGCTTGTAGAAACTGAACTCCAGCCACAATCTGGACCTGATGTTCATGCGCCACACCTCCTTCCCTCTACCCTGTTCCTTCTGCTCACGTAGATGGCGAGCTTAGCCTTGCCCAACAGGAAGTTCAGCAGCTGCCATTTAGTGCTGCTGCTCTTCTGGTACCCTGCATCCAGAATGAACCTGCTGACTGAGAAAGTCTCATTAAAATGGTTAAAAACACAATTCATTGTATTTAAAAAACTGGTGAGTCTCTTGCACTCTAGGAAGCAGTGGAAGACAGTCGAAGACGTCTCTGTGAGGGCGCAGAAGGGGCATGTATAGGAGGCCTGGGGGTCCAGCACATTGAGGAAGGAGTTAAGAGCCTTGGCCTCTGTCCTCTTTTTGCAGGAACAGCACGCTCTGAGGGACCCAGTGCAGTCGGTTCCAGAAGAAGTCTTAAGCACCCTGAGCAAGAGTCATACTTCTAGACCAAAGAGCCATTGAAGGTGAGTCTTTATTTTGTGAGCCATCTGTAAACAAAAACACTAATGTAACAAAGGTGTAAAATGTGGGTGTTTGAACAATAATTAAAACAGGGCTTGACCGTGACTTGAACCCGAAACTACTCGCACTCAAAGTGAGAATCATAGCCCTAGATAAGGGGTGCTCACACTTTTTCAGCTTGCAAGCTACTTTTAAAATTAACAAGTCAAAGGGATCTACCCTCTACAAAAATGTAAAACATCAATGAACAAACAATTATTTTCAACTTTATTGAGAATTGATAAAACACACATAATAATTAACTATTTTCATTTTTTGTAATAACGTGAGTTTAATTTGATGACTTGCACTGAATTGAATCATTAGAACAGTTGTGTGTGATCTGAATTTGGTGGTAATAAGTACAATATGCAGGTGAGGAGTGGCGTGTTGCTTGATTTTGGTTGTAATAGAGCAATTTAGAATGAAGTTATGAAGCATATTCTGGGTAAAACATATTTTGGATCTGGTCATTTGCAGACGGTCCCTAAGCGATTCCATGCCAGCAGGTTGCTCATAGACGGTAATGTGTTTCTGAGAATGCAGAGGGAAACTTGTTTTGATAAAAAGCATTTTGTAGTTTGTCCGCTACATAACACAGATTAAAAATAGGTATTATTTGTTTACTAAGAACATTCTGGTCTCGAGCTATTGAGCAGAGAAAACCGAATCCATGAATCTGCAGCTAACTTTACTGAACTGTGACGGGATGGATGATCCGCTGATATTATTTCAATTTCACGCCGCGATCGACCAGTAGATCGACGTAATGGATATTCAGATATATTTGGTGTGCCATTTGAAAAAAAAAAACACTAATGCAACAAGGGGTAAAATATAGGTTCTGAACCATAATTAAAGCAGGGCTCATACGGGATTTGAATCCGGGATCTCTTGCACCCAAAGCGAGAATCATATCCCTAGACCAACAAACCATCGTGGGTGGGTATTATTTGGTGTGCCATTTGGAAACAATACCACAAATGCAACAAGGGGTAAAATATAGGTGTTGAACCATAATTAAAGAAGAGACCGTCCAGGATTTCAAACTTGGACCTCTTGCACCAAAAGCAAGAATCATACCACTAAACCAACAAGCAATGGAGGTTTGGTCCTATTGGGTGTGCTATGGCACACAAAACAAAACTCACCCTCATTGCCTCAAACATGTCACTTTCTTTTTCAGACTTAAATTTTTTTAGTATTAATTGAAAAATCTTCTGCTGTTTTTCCATTAAATACTAAAAATGTATATCTGTAGAGGAAAGTGACATTTGAGGAAATTTTGGCCAATTTTGTAATCACTTCCTTCTACAGATTTTCATTTTTTAAGTAATAATTGGAACTGCAGCTGCACAATTCTCATGTTTATTTTATTTTACAATGACGATTTTGATTATTGGTCTGTCAACAAATTGTCCCTAATTCTTTTAGAGACAAAAACAGTCATGTAACTTTGATTACATGTAAGTTTTTTCTTTCTGCAAATTCAAATTGAGAAACACAAGTGCTCTCACTTTGGAATGCTTGAGGTGATTTCTCCTCTCTGTGAGTATTTCTACAGTTTTGGAGAAAATTCTTGCTAAGGCAGTGATGTGGCCACAACACAAAGATTCTTAGCTACTAGTTTCCTACGCCTTGGATATACAGGTATCCGACTTTCCCACCACTTCAAAGGGTCTTCATTATTAGGAACAAATGGCTCTTCCAGGTACGCCCGCGCACCAACATGACATCGTCTGCTGTTGGGTTGCCACTGTTCCAACTACCTGCTCATAGAGGTATACATTTATGCCTAACAGCTCCCGACCGTTCAACAAATCATTTGCAATGCACTCACGTGTTTGGGGTTTATATGCAGCGTATTTCTGTCGTGGAATATTTCAAGCTTTCTTTGTTGGTTTGTTTCAAACTGAATAACGTCTAGGTTACATACGTAACCCGCGTTCCCTGAAGGAGGGAACGCAGACGATGTCGATGTCTCGACTATGGGTGGAGCCATCCTGAAAGTGGGTGGAGCTGAATATTTAACGGGCAAATTAATTTGCGAGTGAAGTTGATTAGCAATCAATTGATCAATCAACTGCTCTATAAGAGCAGAGCGTAGCTCTACACTCATTCTGCTTTCTTCCGAGGAGCCGAACCTACTTACCTCTACGGCACCTCAGAGCAGCGACTTGAAGTACATGGCCAAGGGAACGTCTGCATTCCCTCCTCCTTCAGGGAACGCGGGTTACGTATGTAACCTAGACGTTCCCTTTCAGTCGAGACGCAGACGATGTCGATGTCTCGACTATGGGAACTCCCTCGAAAGGGCCATGACCAAGTCCATCCAACCAGGCCGACTCTAAGCTGCGAAGGTTAGGAGCCTGGCGGAAGCTTCCCGGGGTCAGCCAGTGGATCCTCCGGACCATCCGGCTGGGTTATACGATTCAAATCGTAAAACCCCCCAGGTTTCGAGGCGTTTTAGAGACCCTGTCCCCCGGTCAGGCGCCTCACTCCTGCAAGAGGAGATCGCTGCCCTTCTTTCAAAGAGAGCAGTCAAGCCGGTCCCTCCAGCCGATGTAGAAAGAGGCTTTTACAGCCGTAACTTTCTCGTCCCCAAAAAGTCAGGCGGGTTGCGACCAATCCTGGATCTGAGATATCTAAACCGGAACCTGGCCCAGTTCCGCTTCAAGATGTTGACGATCCGCAGCCTTCTGCCGTGCGTTCGTCCTGGGGATTAGTTCGCCACCATAGACCTGAAGGATGCATACTTTCACGTGGCGATAGAGCGGCATCACAGACCCTTTCTCAGGTTCTGCTTCGAGAGCCAAGCCTATCAGTACTGCGTCGTGCCCTTCGGCCTGTCCCTCTCTCCGCGCACCTTCACGAAGGTGACCCGGGCTGCTCTCGCCCCGCTACGCCGGACAGGCTTTCGTGTCCTGGACTACCTCGACGACTGGCTCGTGCTAACTTTGTCCAGGGACCAGTTGATCACACACAGGGACAGAGTGCTTTCCCATCTCGGCCAACTAGGGTTTCAGGTCAACTGGGAGAAGAGTCGCCTGACTCCGGTCCGTGCGACGACTTTTCTCGGTTTGGAGCAGAACTCTGTGAATATGAGGGTGCGCCTTACGGCAGACCACACCCGAGCCCTACTGTCCGCTCTCAGAGCTGCGTCTTCACGACGGACGGTCAAACTGAAAGGATTTCAGAGGCTCCTGGGGCATATATCAGCTGCAGCCCCAGTGATTCCGCTCGGGCTCCTGCATATGCGACCGTTTCAGCTATGGGTTCATTCCAGAGTTCCGAGTTGGGCATGGCGCAGAGGTCAGCTTCAGGTGCCCGTGCCACATCGCTGCCTCTACACCAGGGGTCTCAAACTCAAATCGGCCTGGGGCCACATCAAGTACTGTCATGCACCAGAGGGCCAGACGAAAAAAATTAACGGAAATATCGACAAAGAATACATTTAAATTGTCTTTAAATTGTATGACTAGTGTGTCATACTTAGAACAGTTTGCACATATTTCTTTAGAACTTATGTAACTTAGCACCAGAAAACATACAAAAGTGCTCATTATTCAAATTTTGAAACAAACGTAATACAATACATGTAAGCCTATTGATTGCTTATTTCTTGCCAGACACCTGCTTGCGTTTCTGCTCACATAAGCTGGTTATATTGGGGTTGATAGAGGTCACAGTTGAAACCCTGAGGACAGCCTGAAGGTGGGCATCACTTAATCTAGTTCTGTATTTAGACTTATTATAGTTCATAACTGAAAAAAGTTTCTCACATACATATGTACTTCCAAAAAGACACAAAACACGACTGAACAATTTGCACAGCTTTGGGAAGGATTTGCACATTTCTCTCAGTAACTGTCCTATCAACTCCACATTTCCTTGTGCCTCCCTGAACTTACTTTTTAGTTCAACATTACACTGCAGATCTATTAGTTCCATTTGCATTTCACATGGCACAGTGTCAACATCAGCTGAGAAAAGATCTGCAAAAAGCTTGAAAGTGTCTGCATGTGCTTTAAAATCTGCAAAGCGCTTGTCAAATTCCTGCTCTAATTGTTCAATTGCAGAAATATAGCCTTCACCACAAAACTCTGAACCTTTCTCTACAAGAGATTTGCATGTTGGAAATTGAACAAGTTTGTTTGCAGCAATGTGCCCTTTCCACAATTTCAGCTTAGTTAAGAATGCTTTGACACATGAATACATTTCTGTAATCAGTTGCGCTGGGCCTTGTAGTTTTAGATTTAGCATGTTTAGTTCATGAGTTATGTCCACTAGAAAGGCCAGGTCCATCAGCCACTTTGGATCATCAAATTCAGTGACAGTCATTTTGCCATTATCCAAGAACATTTTAATTTCTTCTCGTAACTCAAAAAACCTCTTTAGGACCTGCCCTCTGCTAAGCCAGCGCACTTCAGTGAAATAAAGCACATCTCCGTAGGCAGCCTCAATTTCCTTTAAGAAAGCACAAAACTGGCGATGCTGCAAACCCCTTGATCTGATGTAATTAACGCATTTGATAACGACAGACATGACATGCTCATATTTAAGACATTTGCTACAAAGGCTCTGCTGATGTATAATACAATGCAGCACAAGGGCTGGGCTCGCGTTCTCTTCTTCAAGCTTTCGTTGTACCAGAGCAATCAGTCCATTTTTTTTTCCTGCCATAGACGGGGCCCCATCCGTGGTGATGCCTGTCAGTTTGCTCCACGGTAAACCAACACGCTCGAGTGAACCGCTCAGCTCCTCAAACAAGTCTTTAGCGGTGGTTCTGCCATGCATAGGGCACACGCTTAAAAGTTCTTCAGTCACTTCAAACTGGCAATTAATTCCACAAATAAAAATTGCCAGTTGCGCATGGTCCATTTTATCCGTGCTTTCATCAAGCGCCACGGAATATGCAGTGAAATCTCTAGCTTTATTTCGAAGCTGTCCATATATGTCATTTGATAAGTCATTTATGCGATCAGCAACGGTATTAGCAGACAGGGAAATGTTTGTGAATAAATGTCGCTTTTCTGGACAAATCAAATCAGCCACACGTAACATGCAGTCTCTTAGGAACTGTCCCTCCGTGAATGGCTTCCCTGCTTTGGCAATGAGTTCACTCACCGCGTAGCTTGCCTCCAGCACAGCATCAGCATCTTTTCTGGCCTGATTAAAAAAATTCAACTGCGAAACCACTCGCTCCCTGTCTGGGCCCTGGTATTTTCCATATTGCTCCCCGTGTTTTGTCTCGAAGTGACGTTTTAAGTTAAAATCCTTTGGTACAGCGACCCGTTCTTTGCATATTAAGCACGTAGGAAGTCCATTGTAATCCACAAAGAAGTATGACAATGTCCACCTGTCCTGAAATTGTCTGTTCTCCACATCAATTTTACGTTTAGCTTTCGAAAGAGACATGTTTGTGAAGTGTCTGGGTTAGCAAGAAACCTTCGCAAATAGCGCGAAACAGCCAGCGCGCTGCTGTTAAAAGCCAATCAAATAAGAGAGCACCTTTGACCTTTGCGTCTGCAAGGTGTTATTATTTTTTAATGAATGTATTTTATTTATTAGTCTCTCGTTTTAATGTGTAATAATGTGTAGTAATAATAATAATAATTTAAAAAAAAGAAAATACTTTCTTTTTGTTTGCCAGCTTGCTCTTACGGGCCGGATTACGTTACGTAAGTGCTGGCCAGGTGCGGGCCGGATGGGGGGGGGCAGGGGGGCCGCACCTGGCCCCCGGGCTGGGACTTTGAGACCCCTGCTCTACACCCTCAAGGTCTGGGGCTCCGTGAACTTCCTCCGCGCAGGTGTTCCCCTGGGTGGGATCACTCTGCGCAAGGTCGTCATTACGGACGCCTCCATGACAGGTTGGGGCGCCGTGTGCGGTTCCCATCAAGTTTCGGCTCCTGGAACTGGCGTCTCGCTCGATGGCACATAAACCGTCTCGAGCTAGTTGCAGTCATACTGGCACTACGGCGTTTCCGCCATCTACTGCTTCAGTCACATGTGCTTGTCAGGACGGACAGCACGGCAGTTGTAGCTTACATCAACTCCAAAGGAGGTGTTCGCTCCAGCCATCTGCACTACCTCGCCCAAC